AAACCCAAGGAGGAGATTCACTTCTGGGATGGTGAGTTTGCCAAAGTAAATGGTACATGCCAATTATACATTCATCTCCCGTGCAGGAAATGTGGAACCTCAACTGCTGCATTACAACAGTAAAATGATGAACAGCATCTGGGGATTGTATAACCGCTACTCTGTGCATAACTTGAAGGGCAGCTGGGATAAAGAATTGAGCTTTGGTGCCATTAATCAGCAGCTGTAGGTGAATGAAATTATATTGATTTCCGGAAGGGTTAACTTTTTTCAATTTGCAGCAAGTCTGTTGGTTGCGCCTCGAATGGTACCAATGTAGCTCTCACTCCTTGAAATCTTCGGGGTACAAATGAGTATTCGTACATTTGTGTAGTACAACTTTAGTAGTGTAGCTTATTATAGAGATGATATTTTATACCTATTTATTTTTATACTATGAAGAAATAAACTGATATATGTGAAATGCAACACATGTAAAGAGATTGCAATTATCACAACTAATGACCTTTGATGTTACATTATTAAAATTAATGAGAAGTCACAGTTGATAACTCTTATTAATCTATAAATAAGGTCAAACGTAAAATGACGATTTGAGGCGATGTCACACTTCTTGTCGCGCCTCATCGTCCTCTCTGATAGTGGGCTTCAGTCGCCAGGGGAATTTTATTGTATAAAATTGAGTCTATTACAATTTATCCTTTTTACATTTTTTTCTATCTATTTCTATTTGTTTACGTTTTGAATCAAATACGCGCGATCGTGATTTCCGTAAGTAAACACATTGGATTGACTACAATATTGCTTCATAATTTAACCGGTAGTTTCTACACCTCTCGTTATTTAACACACAGGTTACAACTGATAAAAAGCTGTGCGTTTGATGAAAATTCGCTCACGTAAACCGGACTTAAATGCTCAAATGTCAAAAAGAGCTATCAGGTATCTGTGTCATGACCCATTAGAATTATGGATAGCTCTGAAGTCATCGGTCGTAAACTTACTTTGTATATTTTATGTACAGGGTTTTGCAAGAGTCAGGCCCGTAGCCGGAATGAAGTAGCAGGGGTGGCCGGTATTTTTCTAGGTGGGGCTTAAGAAATTTTTGATAAAGGTTTCCCCTGTAATTTTTGTAAAGGAACCATCAACCGTAATTTCCAGTGGGGGCAAGACCACATTCTAGGTGGGGATCAGCCCCACCTGGCCACCCACTAGCTACGGACGTGGCAAGAGTGTCTATTAAAAAAATGTTGACCATCTTCGATTGCTCAAAACGCTTTAGCTTGACGAGACGTCTATGAGCTGTTCTTCCAGTGCCACCACGTATTCAGGTTTTTTGTGGAATGGATTATAAACCAAATTTCAGGTGGAAAGTGTTGCCTAGGTCGGCCTAATTTTAATTTCGCGGATCGACCTTTGACTATTGGACAAAAGAGCGGGCTAACAATTGTTGGATTTAATGATGCTGAGTATGAAAGTTTGCGGATATGTCAGCGAGCGTTTTGCTTTTGGTATATGTACAAACTATACAAATAGTTCAATCTGTCCTAAATAACTTTGGAGCTATGGTGACAGCCGTACGGTTAGGCAATACACATAACATTTGAAAGAATAGCATCCTGGGAAAAAATATGAAACACTGTGTATACGGCAATCCTGAAAGGTTTTTGCTGATCTTGAAAAGTGTAATTACAGGTACCTAGTAGTCATTCTATTAAGCGACAGAGCAATGCGGTGTAACCTTTTACGGGAGTCGTCAGTCGATGGTGTTTGTCTCAATATGCGAACACGATAATTGGCAAAAGCCTGAACCAATTCGGTTCAAACAAATAACTCCGTAAGATCACATTGCGTTGCCGCTTTTCTAGATTCGCTTTACACGTTGTTCTTTTTTGTACTAAACATCAATCAATCTATCTTTCAATTTTGTCACCATTTGTTATGATTTGGTACTTGATATTTGGCGTGTGTGGTACTGACTTTATATTGTTTTATGAAGTATTTATTTATATATTCACGCGGAAGTATATATATTTGTACATATGAAGCCCTGTATGTTTTCATTAACTGTTTAGAAAGTATCTCGTACAGTTTCAATTCTTCGTTATATCCGTTGCTTTGTCATATCTCATGCGGACTGCAGTTCTTGTTTATTTATTTATATTTATTATGTATTATCCCTCTCTTGTTCTGGGCCCTCAACAGGCTGGCGCTCAATTACAGAGTAACCCGCATTATGCTTTTTAGAGGTGCCTCTGTAGAAGGTTCGGTATTTACCTTACGAATTAGGAAAACTGCAGGAAAACCTGATTCGGAGTAGCCGGCAGAATGCTCGAAACTGGTCTAAGGTAATTCCCATCTCTGCCATAGATGAAAAATTCACCTCAACCCAGGTTCGAACACCCAACCTCCGGATTTATAGCCCAACGCTTTACCATTGAACCACAAAGTCGGTGTCGCAATACGAGAAAGGGGGCCCTCTAATTTACTTTTCCTCTGTTTTGTATGTGAGATTGCTTGTGTGATAGGGTTTAGCTTGAATACGTACCTACTGCTTATACATTCTCACCTGCACTTTTCCTGTTAGATTAATGCGGTAGCCGATGCTGGTTTAGAGCATGGATTTATAATTGTACTAGTTGTTTTATGTTTTTTCTTATAATTTTGTTTATAATTTATCTTTCTTTTAATGTATAATGATTCAGGGGAAGTTACGTGTGTGTTTTTTTGTTTTGTTTTTTGAAAATTCACTTTTCTTTTTTCTCTCAATTTTCTTCTTTTGTTATTAATGCACAATGCTTTATATGTTCAATATATACTTAAGTTGACCTGTAAATGGATGCGTTCTGTTGGTCAATAAACTATTATTATTATTAACTATTATTATTATTAATTTGATTTATCTTGTTTTCCATTTGTCCAGCACAACGCCAAGGTATTTCACTTCGGTCGTCGCCGGCGTAGAGTACCAGGGTGGTTTCCTTGGCGTACTCGGGCAGTCGCTGTGCTCTTACGTGACCTGCAGCCCCCCGTAGCGGACCGTCCTTATTCGAATACTTCGCAAGGTATTTGAATACTTTGAAAAGTATTCGAATACTTCGCATAGTATTTGAATACTTAACCTTCCTTTTCTTTACCAAAAATCGACTACTCCAAAATTTCTCTGGAAAACACTTTTTCTTATTAATTTTGGTGCGTAGAATCCAGATGATTCGTACTTTTTCGATTAGACTTCTCAATCAAAAGTTATGGACTAGAAACCAATTTCGAAAGAAAATTTAAAAGGGCTGTAACTTTCGATCTAGTAGCCCAATCTTGGAACTGTTTGAAATTATGGATTCTACAGCCCACATTCTATAAGAACATTTTTTCCGGGTCGATCTGGGACAATTTTTTTTTCAGGCCTCAAAAAAAGGCAGTGTATAACCTTCCTTTTTTACCAAAAATTGACTACACCAAAATTTCTCGAGAAAACACTTTTTATTATTAACTTTGGTGCGTAGAATCCAAAACAATTCGTACGTTTTCGATTAGACCTCTCAATAAAAAGTTATGGACAAAAAACAAATTTCGAAAAAAAATTCAAAGGGCTGTAACTTTTGATCTAGTAGCCCAATCTTCAAACTGTTTGAAATTATGGATTCTGCGGGCCAAATTCTATAAGAAAATGTTTTTTCCCGGTCGATCTCAGACAATTTTTTTTCCGGCCTCAAAAAAAGGCAGTACTTTTAAGTTATTCAAATATTCGAGAACAATTTAGAAATGTTTAGGGAAAGTTTCCATTGTCACAAAATCAAATATAAAAATCCGATACATCTGAATACCGAACTCGATAGTCTACGTAACTTAAAAACAATAGGGACCTTTCTTATATCCTTAAGACCATGTGTACCAATTTTCAAAGCGATCGCACGTTTCTAAACAAGTTATCATGCACACGGACAAACGGATGGTCAAAAATGGATCTGTTCCAAAATCGCTAGGATTAATTTCAGAAAGGCGTACGCATCATGTGCACGACGTACGATCGCTTTGAAAACTGGTGGATATAACTGGTATAAGAAAGGCCCTGGTAGGTACCTCCTATATAATAATATAATAATAATACGCTTTTACTCCCCTTAAATTTGTATATAACAATAGAAAAAAAAAAAGCTAACCCCATACAAAGTATAACTTGATTTTTTAAGTGGTTTTACGCCTTTTTATCTAGTATACTATTTTAAATTTTTAATGTATTTGAGTGACAAGTATTTGAATACTTTTTACAGTATTCGAATACTTTTCAAAGTATTCGAATACTTTTTATAGTATTCGAATACCTTTGATAGTATTAGAATACTTTTGAAAGTATTCCAATACCTTTGAAAGTATTCGAATACATTCTAAAGTATTTGAAAACTTATTTTTTTAAGTATTTGAATACTTTTCAATATATCTGTATCTAGTATTCGCTTGTGCTGGACGTAAAAGTATTTAGTATTCAAATACCTTTGATTTGTGTAAAGTATTTACTATTTAGTATTCAAATACTTTTTGAAAGTATTCTGCCCAGTTCTGAACTGGGTTTACAACTGGGTCACCGGGGCGCTGAGTCAGTAGACAGGGTAACAACTTAATTCGCGTGGGGTGAAATACAATTCGGGCGCAAATAGCCCCCCCCCCCCTGCTAAATTGAATTGAAACCGGGGGGGGGGGGGTGGCTAAAGTGTCAAGATGGGGGACTGCGTGCCATTTTCAATTTTTGTTTAAATGAAGAAGGGGTTCATATGATACCTCATTTTGACGGACTTTTTTCTAAAATTTAAAAAAAAAACTAATAGGGAGATACTTTTAAGAGCGCATTTGGTACTTCTCATACTAAAACTAAAATTTGAAACTTTCAACATGTCGGTTGTGAGCGAAAATTTTTTTAACGTATGTAGGATGTTTTGCCTAACCTCCTGGCGCATGTGGTGTTACAGTATATTATCTGATATTACTAAAATAATATAACACAATACTATGATATTAGCGTATATTACATTATTTATTTTAACATTGTATTACACTAAATTGGCACCAGGCGACTCCCTCTATAGCCACACTTATAAAAAAAACGTGACTCTTGGGCACAAAATACACAGATCTCTTCAGTAGGCATTTACTTTGAAGTTCAATGGCACCTTTGAGCTAGAATGTGTAATGAGTATTTGCGCGATATCTTGCAGACCGTTTTGTAAGGTGACCAAAAGCGGCGTGTTCCCTGCTTCATTTTGAATGTCAAGACTGGCTCCACTTTTCAGGAGCGTAGTTACAATGCCAACGTCCTTTTTCGCAACTGCCTCGTGGAGAGGACTATTTCCTCTATTCGTTTGAGCATCCACATTCGCACCATGCTCCAATAACAGTTTCACCATTTCCACGTTGGATTTGTAAATTGCCATGTGCAGAGGTGCAATGCCGGCATTATTCTTTGCGTTAATATCGGCTCCAGCGATGAGCAACAGACGGGTCAGATTTAGGTCGTTTAAGCGCACTGTAAGATGAAGGGGGGTATCTCCGTTAACATCTCCGATGGTTAAGTGATTTCGTTTGTCTAAAAATGAAAGTTAAAAACACTAAGAAATTGAAAATATTGCCTACCAACAGCTGCCGCAGTGCCTGTTGTGCATAAAATCGCCAAAACTACAGCTAAAACTGTCCGCATTTTTGTATTCTAAAACTGTATTAAAGTGTGACACTGTTTTGATACTTGCATTGATTGCTCATTGGTTTTTCCAGTTCAAGGGTCGAGCCATGCTACGCTTAATCGTTACTAACCATGTAAACAGTTGTGGTTACTGTAATTTTTTTCTATAAATAATTGACATGTGTAAACAATTACTGTACTACCAGTGTAAGAGAAAAACATAATTTCCTATTGTCACAGTGCGAGTGGGGTGGGTCGGTAATTCCACATTGCTCGTCTGGAATTGTTAATACTTGGAACGCAATGTTTTGTATGTATTATAGTATTGTTTATTCATAAGTAAACAAACGTATTACAAAGATTTCATTGCATGTATAGTACCTATGTGAATTCTAATCATTCGAACAAAGCAACAAGATAACCCATCATCGCGTACAAACAATCAGCAAGATCTTAAGAACACAACATTTTGTTTGCGCTTACACGTTTGTTTGTTGTTTCGATGAAATTGATGCGTAAATGGACATTTTGATCAATTTTGGGCAACATTTCGAAAGCAATCCATCTTGATGTATGCAATGGGAGTCCGTTGCCGAGTCGTGTTTGTTTTTTCCTACAAATTTTTATCCGAGTGGGGGCGGGAAAAAATAACCCTCAGGGTTAGTGCATCCCATCCAAACGTCAATCGGCTGTATCTTTCCAACTAATCCTATTAAGCAGTCTCGCGGTGTAGGAAAGAAAATGATTGCATATTTTTTCGGTGAAAGTAGCTCGATTACTACAATTTCTCTAGAAGACAAAAAAATAGTTGATCCTCATTGGTACACGACAATTTGTTTTTGGTTTTCGAAAGAGTAGCGCATTGTTAGGTCAGACAACTTCCAAATTGGACAAATGGACATTTATTGAGTAATTTCGTTGGGAAAATGGTAATACGTACTGCGCCAATGGGCGAGGACAAAACTTTGTGGTTCTCCTAATCTTTCTTTCTGGGAAAACGACGAGTGTCAAAGCTTCAAATGCTCAGGATGAGTAGTGGGTACTTACAAAGGAAACGTGGGAGATCGACGTGCCCATTGTTCTAAGTTTTGTTTCCTTTATTGGATCAACTTAATAATGATTGAATTACAATATACAGGGTGTTACATATACGTATGTAAAAAAATTGGGTGGTAGAGGGGATTAAAGCAAGCACTTTTTCTAAATATAAGGTGTTTCTTTTGGGAGCCAATCCCAGAAAAGTGGTGAAATTTGCATTTCTTCTTTAATGTTTTTCTCAGCAACGATGAGTTAGAAAGACTACAAACACAAGTCTTTGAATAGGTTTTCGAGTGTGCCCTTTACGATTTTGGGAATTTTTTTTCAAAATTCTTACCACGAGAGGGCGCGCCCCTAAAGGGGGGCGAGAAAAAAATTTTTGATTTCGACGAAATTTGGTATCTGGGGGTGTTTGAACATGAAAATCAAGAATTCGAAATTAGTTTTTGAAAATTAGAAAAAAAAATTCACTGCAATTCTTGGCCGGACAAAAAATAATGGAGAGAATTCCAAGAAATTTGTTGTGTGAATACTTGATGAATTAAGGAACAAAATCGTCGAACAGTTTTTTAAAATCACTTTTCAAACAAATGGTTATACTCATTCGGGCCTTCGGGTCATAAAGTGTTTCCCGCCTACTAGTTTTGTAACTCTTATGGTTGTTAAGAAAAAAGTTAAAAAAATTGCAAATTTTACCATATTTCTGGGAGTGGCTCCCAAACGAAACACGTTTCACCCTGGGTTTATTCGGAAAAAGTGCTTGTTTTGATCCCCTCTACCACCCAATTTTGTTTACATACTTATATGTAACACTCTGTATACTTATGTACAGATTTACAATTTTTAGCGTCGGTTTACTGAACGGTATTGCTGGCGGACGGCGTACCTTCTGGGATCGTTTGTAGCCATCGTTGTTAAATTAATGCGCCGGTAAGGAACTGCCACGTCAGCTATCGGAATCTGCAACGAGGAAAGACTGACGACTTGCGCGCGTCTCCTTATAAAGCCCCCGCGTTCTCGTTTTCACGACGGATGGCGAGCCCGCGCGATACCGCGTGACGTCACAGCCTCTACGACCAATGGCGAGCGCGCGATGTTACGTGATGCCACATACCCCCTGCTGGCGATGGAGTCGCTCTCACATGATATTGAAACAGGCTCTGCGTTGCACCTTTCTGCCAGGCCGGGTAACCCAGTGTGCCTCTGTGGCTGTCGTTGGTTTGTCTTTGGCGGGTGGAGTTAGTGGCTGGACTGTCTATAACAATAGTCAGAGTTGGCGCTGCTTTTATATCACAACCGCCTCATAAACGGCCGACTAGCACATGGTTAATAAAACAAATGCATAAGAATCTCCCCTACCAATGAAGACTTATTTAAGCTTCAAACTAAAACTGTACAGTAAAAATGTACATTAAAACTGATCATTTAAGCTACACAATGAAACAGTAATCGGAAAACTAAAGCTATAGCTGAAATTGAACACTGACGGTGTTCACTGAAGGTGAACACTGAACTTGTATACTAAATTCAGCGCTTTAAAATTTGACTACTACTTGTAACAAATTTATGTTCACAGTGTAAAATAAATACATTTTAACAGTGTAACTTTCTCGTTTATTCAATTTTATATCACTATAAATCCTTGATAGGTACGAAAGCGAAAAGACGGCTGCGGTGAAACGAATTACGTAGAATTTGTTGCTAATTTATGGCAAACTGCAAATATAATCTTGTCAAAGGTAGTACCGTATAATTACTTACCTACCAAGAGTTGTTTTTTGAAATTTGAGTTCGATTAGACGGTTTTTTGAAAAGGGATTTGTTGCCAAGTCGTAAGTTTTTTTCTGAGCGTTCGTTCTATTCATGCATATATTTTAGCCTTTTATTTTTGGGTTTATATGGTTTATGTTGAAAATTTGGTTTTGGATCAAGTTTTAAATATAAAGCGAAGCTGCTGTGCAGAAGAAATACTTACCACGTTTGGGGTTCGACGTTTTTTTGGGTTGTTGTCAAAAGGCGCCGAGGCAAGCGTTCATTTGTTGGGAGTAACCTTCCGTGAAAAACCTCTGTGGATAATCCTACCGCCATTCAATCTGGAAAATTCGAAGTTCAATTTATAACAATACACAAATCAGTTGGTATGTAGTTTTGGATTTGATTTTGATTTATTTTCATACAAATTTGTTATCTTTGTTTAAACCGTGGACAAGCACAACTTTGGGTAAAAAGTTGGTAGCTAAAATAAATTTGTTCTTTTGTTGTTTAACAGTTGATGTTGGTATATTTATTAATTTAACGTAACTAGAGAGTAGCTACTTGTCCATTGGTAATTGATGTGTTCAAACCAATTACTTACCTTCTAAATCTGCAGCGCTACCTGATGTAAGAATATGGCCAGATTGACATAAAAGCTGTGTTGTAAGTTTCATTTATATGAATTTAATTATTATCTCTGTTCACTACGTGCCAACGAAAACTTTTTTTAAATTTTGAATAAAGATCTTTGTGTTTGGGTAAATGCATGAGTTTGATTCTTTTGGTGGAATGTTTAAGTGGTCTTTTAATTACAGATAAATTATATGTACTTACCTACGACCATTGCGCCGACCTGATTAGCTGGCATATTTTACCTATTTTTTGTAAACGTTGTTTTCACGTTATATACTGCATCTATACTGTTAGTCCAGTCAAATTATCATAATACCTTGCATCAGATGTGTCATTTCTATTTTTCTTTTTAAATTGTTAGGCTGAGTATGGATGTCAAAAATCCAAGTTTTCGACATCCAAAGACCTGTGCGAGCAACGCAGCACTCGAAAATACACCATTTTTCTATTAGTTTTAGGTTTTTTTAGTTTTAGTTCTGAAGGAGAGATTTTAAAGCAATACTTTTTTAAACTAGACAAAATTTGTGACAATTCAAGCCCTTATCCGGTTCTGTAAGTCTAATAGTTTTGGAGATACATCGTTTCAAAAATTCGTAAATTCTTCAGTTTTAATCAAATTTTCCTTTTTCTCGCATGAACATTTTTATAATTTTGTTCGTTTGGGGGGGCTTTGTGGTAAGGAGTATCCATAAATCCCCACAGAAAGAGCTACAATGTTGATATCCTCTGGATCCCCAGCATCTCCCATGATAAGAAAGTTGTCATCTTCTTCTTCTTCAGCAAGATCCACTACCTGTTACATGTATTGCGAAATCTGTGAATTTTTTCCTTTTGCCTAACCTTGCTCGACCATTCAAAAGGGACACCGAATATAGAAGATCTGTGACAGTAGCAGAAGGCTTACTCACAACACTATCGTTTGAATGAATAACGCATCATATATAAACAGGGATATTTTTCCACTAAAAGACAAAAATCAATATTTAATTTGCTTTTATTATCCGCAATTTTTAGCACTTCTTCAACAACAAGTTTATTACGATGCACGACTTACGACATTTCATCGTGCATATTTTGTAAGTTTACTTTCTGCGAAGAAAAAACGCAAATTTTGATAAAACTTGTGAAACTAATAAATTTACCAATAGTTGAAGCGCCGTATCTCGGAAACTATTAGACCTGCGGAGATCGTTATGGGCTTAAATTGTCAGAAATTTCGTCTAGTTCAAAAAAGTATACGACAATAATTGCATTAAAATCGGTTCTTCAAGAGTAAAACTTACAAAAACCGAAAAATGGTAAGGAAACTGATATATTTTCAAGTGCTGTGTCGCTGGCACAGGTCTTTCAATGTCGAAAACTTGGATTTTTCACATCCATATTGATCCTAACAATTTAAAAGAAAAATTAGAGATGACATATCTGATAATAATAATAATAATAATAATAATAATCTTTATTGTCCAAACAGGTGTACAAAACCCTAGAATAGGACAAAATTATAAGTGAGAGAGTAAAAAATTAATGCAGTAACTAACTCGTAAAAAAAAAAAATAATAACTAAGTAATATAATTAAGAATGATAGGTAATGGAGTGTGAAAAATATCTACATGACTTGAAATATCATTATAGTGATAACACATTGTATAAATCGGTGAGCTTTGTCTGATATTAGTTCTACATCTTGGCAATTGAAATGTGATTTTATTCCTAGATGAGGGACGTGGTATATAAAATTTTATCGAGTTATGTAGCAAATTGCAGTCAGTTAGGTTGTGCACAAGCTTATATAGATAAGTAACAGCCATTCGCCTTCTCCTAACTACTAGCGGGACAAGATCAAAGTTTTCTAGCATAATTGCCTGATGCACGGAATGCCCATTTTTTTGTCTAATTTGACTGTACTATGTACGCTGAAGCTGAATATTGAAAATGTGCACTGAAATTAAATAGGAACACTAAAACTGTACAACAAAACTGAACATTAAAAATGTACACTAAAACTGAACACTGAAAACTGAACACTAACGCTATACCCTTAGATTGATCAATAAAAACGTAAACTGAACACTAAACCTGATGTACCTACGTACACTGATCTTGAACACCATAAGTGTGGAAAGAAACTCAATACTAAAAAATGTACACTGAACGCTGATACTGAATACTGAAACTAAAAACTGAATTTGAAGTTTAGAACTGTGGACTGTGCAAAGATTGAACTGAATCGTCCCAAGCGTTTGCGTGTTCACAGACTGACAGACCGATAGGCAGGCAGGCAGACAGACATCATCGATTCCCCCAACACTCTTAACAAAAGATCCCATTCCCTGTCCTTTTCCCCCAGAAGCACAGCATTCGAACTGATTGGTGTCACTGTGAAGTGCGACTTCGGCTGGGATAATAGAGGAAACAGATTCAAATTTGACAGCCACAGTGGCAGAGGGAGCTTGATTGGCGAGAAGACTAACAAAGTATTAGAATTTGATATAATGAGTTCCTACTGATGGCGTCAATGTGCTATGAAGAAAGCATCTGGACATCAATCGTGATGGCAATTCGAAGTCAATTCAGCCACGGTCTGCATTTTCGAGAACCCCAGCTTGGTTGAAGCAGGAGTGAGAGTGGAGCGGGTCACTGGTGACGAAGATGCATGTACTAGGGCAGCTCTGAACCGAGAAAGTCCCCATCCCATCAAGAAGATAACTGATTTGAATCATAATTTGGAAAGTGTCAACAAGCTTTATAATCTAAAGAAGAAAAATGGTTACAAGTTTTTGACTTCAGAAACAATAGAACAGATGGTACGAGATGCTTCAATTAATGCCATTAAGCAGAACAAACGGGATATCGACAATGTGATTGTGTGATTATTGTTGCAAAGCGAAAGCACATCCAACTACAAGTAAGTACATGAATCTACCAGGCACGCAGCATCTGTCCGATCAAACGTTTCGTGCTGATATGGATGGGCGTTGAGGCAGACCAGCTTGCTCCATGTGGCTCCTCGCATCACAATGAGCATTTCAACTACATATTGTGCAACGCAAGAGCACCAAAGAGCAGACATTATGGTGGAACCAGAGCATTGAAAAACAGGGTGGTTGCCGCGGTCTGCTCCAAAAATCTCGGTGTTGACTACTGTGAACGTCCTTTGAGATTGCCTAACTGTCTCCATCAGTAAGAAATTACCGCTCAATCCTGGAGCAGCGGCGGGCCAAGAAGGCTGAGTGGCACAACAAACCTAACGCGAAGAGGAGGCGGCTGCAGCTGAAATGTGAAAACAGGTGCAAGGAAGTTGCACAGGAGAAGAATGGTGGGCTCACTTATGTCAGTGGTATGGGGACAGCAATGGAGCGTGCTGTGGCAGCAAATGTAGCTAAAACTATATCTTGGTGGCTCCCAGAACTAACTGAACTTCCACCTGGAGGCCGCTTTGTCACAGTTAATCTGGAAACAACTGGTCTCTCTGCCGCTGATGACATCGTTCAACGCGTGGTGAAGAATAATTCTCTACATACACGATTCCAACCAAGAATCTTTCTGCTGCAACTGGACTAAATATTATCCGAGGGAAATTGGTCCAGATAAGCATATCGACAGTGCTCTTGAAACCTTGTCGCCTCTTCTAGCTGTTCAGCAATTTCTGGAGTTCCGGAGGCACTGTGGCAGCCACTTCACCCAGGAGGGTTGTTGAGGAATTCTGCGACCTGGTTCATGGCATGGTGGACATTTTGCTGTTCATTGACAAGGCAATGTCCGCAAAAAAGACCAGATTCCTGCCTAATTCCTCTTTGGGAATGAACGGCAGTTCTACATCAAGAATGCCCACAATGCTGTATCCGACTGCTTGTTGATTATCATTTCAAAATTGACGAGTCTTCTCTTACTGTCTCCATCCTGACTATATCTAAAAACCATTATGCGGGTCACTCCGTAATTGGGCGCAAGCCTGTTGAGGCCCCAGGACAAGAGAGGGATAATAAATAAGTAAATATCTAATTTTATGAAGAGACAAGTTTTTAACAGAAAGAAGTCACTGAACCCGAGTTGGGTGGGCTTTCAAAAGAAATGATTGGGAAGATGGCTGGAGCAGCAGTGACAGAACAGGAACCGAGAACGATTTACAAAAAGCGCATTTCCACCTGCATTCATTTCCCATTTGTAAAATGCAACTGTAAAAATCCGGCCACAAATATGAAAGATAACGTTGCACATGTGCAATCCATTTTTGACGTGCTACCTCAATTTCTGTTTATAAGAAGAATTTCATTTCAATAAAAATAAAATAAAATAAGAAAGTTGGAACTGCGCATGTCAAAAGTCGAGTGTGCACACTTTAAGTGTCAACCAGGGTTACTTGCATCATGCTCTTTTGCTTCCTTTTTGATAGTTGGTGTCTATACACATTGGCGTTAACATTGTGGAAACATTTTACGAAAATTGGCGTTACAAAAAACTGCAACCGATCTGACTCGTTTTGACGTAGATAACTCAATATATCTCGAAAGTTAATCCAATGAAAAGTACTTTGCCTTATATCATTCGCCCCTCTAAATGACGGGAATATAATATTCTATCGCGATGTTTGTGCCAAGCTGGGGCGTTTCTGCATAAGAGCCCATAAATAAATAAATAAATAAATAAATAAATAAATAAATAAATAAATAAATAAATAAATAAATAAATAAATAAATAAATAAATAAATAAATAAATAAATATATAAATAAATAAATAAATAAATAAATAAATAAATAAATAAATAAATAAATAAATAAATAAATAAATAAATAAATAAATAAATAAATAAATAAATAATAAATAAATAAATAAATAAATAAATAAATAAATAAATAAATAAATAAATAAATAAATAAATAAATAAATAAATAAATAAATAAATAAATAAATCATCTAAGTTTGGTTAGAAAACGACGGAAAATCCAAGGTGTTTATTCATTCAACTGTAGACGCCCAGGAACGAATGCCCTATCAACTACTCCCGACTTACCCCTTCCCCATATTGTTTCATTAATTAATGTTTACCTTTTTCAATATGGTGCCTAAATTAAGTGAACCATTTTTTCACAAGAGCAAGGTCGCAGAACCTTCCAGTAATCCTTAGTTCTATAGTATTCGAAAAGAATGATGGCTTGTGTAGGTTCGGCGTGGTGAGGTGAAGGCTGGATTCAGAAAGACGTCTACCCTCTACCCTTTACTTCCGCTATTCTTGATCACAAAACAGTTCCTTAGAAGTATCATTGAATTTTTTTGTTCGTTATGTACAGTACATTGACAAATACCGCCCTCTTGTAATTTTTCTGCTACTTTTCAAAGTTTAATAGATAGAATCTTAGGTCTACTTTAGTCTACCTTTAACAAACACATGAAGGTTTCAGAAAGATGTTTTGCCGATCTTACTGAAATATGTTGGTAATGGTGATGGTCTTTTTTTTCCAGGAGGAAATGACTGTTAATAAAAGACGATTTATTAGAAATCCATTTTCATAGTTACAGTAATGTTAAGACAGAAAATGAATCGCCATCTTTTGAGGATAATATAAGTTAGATAACTAAAAAAAATTTCATTCGCTCGCAATCTCACCACCGGAATTAATAAGAAGTTTGGCAATTTCTGTACTACCATACTTGGCGGCGACGTGCAATGGTATCTCACCGTTCATATTTTTCGCTTTCACATCTGCCCCATTCTCAAGCAGAAGTTTTACAATGTCATCCCGTAAGGACTGCACGGCCAGATGCAGGGCAGAATCGCCGTTCTTTCGCGTTTTGTTCACGTTGGCTCCGTTCTTCAGAAGCAGTTTGACCATCTCGACGTTACTGTTAAGCGAGCAAAGCAACGGCGTGCTGTCCTCCTTGTTAGCCACATCTACGGTTGCGCCGTTGTCGATCAGAATCTTTGCTGCGTTTGTTTTTCCGTACAAGGCAGCCAAGTGAAGAGGGGTATTGCCGTCGTCGTTCTTCATGTTGACGTTTGCGCCAAATTCGATGCAGAGTCGCGTAATGTTCTCGTTGCCACCTTTCGCGGCGTAATGAAGAGGCGTGGAACCGTACCTGTTATGGCGGTCTATCCGCACTCCGTTGTCCACCAGGAGTTTGGCGATAGCTCCGTTACCATGGGCTAGAGCGGAAAAAAGCGGCGTATCGCCGTTGATGTTTTCGACGTCGAGAGATGCTTTATGCTTTACGAGCAAGTCGACCAGCTCGGAATTGTTTGAGGCGACCGCACCAGATAAGGGAGTTTCCCCCAACTTGTTCTTCACGTTTATTGGAGCGCCACGATCAATTAGGATCTTAGCGATGTCAGCGCGACCGTTATACGCTGCAACGTGAAGAGGAGTATGCCCACTGCCGTCTTTTGCTGAAATGTTTGCACCGGCAGCAAGGAGCATCTCGATCAGAAGGGGCGATCCACTTCGCGCTGCTAGGTGAAGCGGAGTGTCGCCAAAACTGTCGATTGTATTGATGTAATTTTCGGTTGTACTCAAACCACCTTCTATAAATAAAAAATGCCCATTACATCACACTACACTAATGAAAAGTGAATTTGCACTAACCTTCGCATCTTGCAACTTGAGGACTTAGTGCAATTAGAGCAAGTACCAGCAAAACCATTGCGATCTTCTTTTCCATGATTTACTCGAGAAAGTGTGTCACTGAACACATCACGGAAGTACAATTCGATACCTACTGTAAGCAAAAATGCTTAATTTAGCAGGTTACTCACGACGACCTTAGTTTTTTATTCAAAGTTCATCATCTTTAATTGATCGTGAGGAAATTCCACGTTATGATGGTAATTATATTATTTACATTCTTTGCTGCGAATAGTGCTTGAGAAAAAAGTTGTCCCGTAATTGTGTAATTCAAAGCGTTTATTGTACGGTACCAGTTCCGGCTTGCAGTCATACGCTAACCTACGATTCTATTGGTAGTCTCCACTAGCTTTTTCCTATGCACAAGGATTTGCTGAACATCTTAGATGCATCTATTCTAGTTGTTTCCTACAAAACTGTCTCATTTGTACTTGTTCGACGTAGCAATTACCTCAGTGGCGTCTCGAAGGTGAAAAAGACTTTAAAGTTATGTTGTAGGTACGTAGGTCCCTTTTGGAGTGTGTTTAAAATGAGCCAGAATTTGATATTAGAGCATTTCCAAAATTGTAGAAAACCGAATTTTTGTGGCTATTTTGTCCGCCTGTCTGTCCGTCCGACTGACTATCTCTACGTATCGACATCTTTTCGTCGCTATTTCAAAAATTTTGGTTATGAAAAAAAAACAAATTGCAGGCGTTTCCGACTTAATCTTTTCTACACACATTCACATTTGCTTGTTGCCTGTAAATAACATCACTTGAAGTTCTGGTACTGCTTGTGAGTTAAGGTGTCCAAAATTTTGATCAATATTCCAATTTTGTAGATTGGTATTTATTGTGAGTGCCTGCCATCCTGAATTTTATCACTCTAGATTCTAGAGACCTTATAGTTCCGCTATGTTAGTTTGATCTGGCCGTTTGTCCCTCCGAGGAAGTAACTCTTGAATTTGAATAATTTAAATCTGACGTTAATTCAATGCAACATTTGATTAGTTAAAGAATGACCAATTCAAGTAGCTTTAAAAGCACCTCCAATCCATTCCCATTTGTGAAGAGTAACATTGCGAAGTCTATAAAGTACATGAAAAACGTTGTTAATTCCCGGACCTCCTCCGGTTCAGAAGGTACCTGAAGGTCTTGGATACGGAAACCTTAGACTAAAGTTGTATTTTTGGATGACATGCATAAATGGCAGTACTCGGCACCGATTGGCCACGCAACTGCGAACGAGTATTAAAGTCGAAATGTCCTGTGGTCTGTCAGCCGTAGTAAACATTCCAAAACCGACCTAAACCTAGAATTCACTAGCACCTTACGTAATTAGCAAACTTAACGTATAGTTTAATCATAATTATGCACAATGCATAATTCGATAATGTTAAAAGTAATTAAGCCGGTCTTCGGACCACGCTCCCAACGCCGGCATTTGCGCTCCCATTTCCAAGTAATTAGACCAATAAGTTTTGTGACGCAAAGAAAAGCGATATTAAATTACGTATGCTTTATATTCTATTTAATAAATATCTATTATTATTCAAATTATTCAATATAAATGAAAAGATATTACCTTATTTCTAAGATTACATTTTACATTCCACGTCTTTTTTTACTAACAAAGTTGCTTGTTTAAGTTACACATTTGTCACAACGGGTAGTAGGTAGCTACTGAACGCTTTCTTTACCAGTTAAATATCCATTTAGTTCATTCATTACTTCCTGGGATTGTAATAGATCGGGCCCAAGCACCCTTTTTTGTTTATACAAATTACGAACATTTATAGCATCAAAACTGCGTCAAATATATATCGTCCGTTTATGAGATTCATCCTAAAGGCTCGAAAATTTATTTTCAATTATAGTTCAGTGTTTTGCACCCTGTAGTCGACCTTAGCAGACTATTCGAATTTAACAGCCGTTTTGTGGTCTATACCCCGTACTGCTCACCCGGACGTGGTGTCCTAGAGCGCATCCGGGGCCTTCGGCGCGCCCTTACCCTCTCGAAGAGCGACACCGCGACACCTTCGGCACCTACCTAGTTACGCCACTGTGTAACGACATCCGGTTTTGGTTATCGACGCCCTTCATTGCGATCTCCTTCCACTCCGAAACATTCACCCTATCAACCACTCCAGATGCAGCCGCAACAGGTTGGAGAGTAGAAGAAGCCAGGGGGTTAACCATACACTGACCTGTCGGTGGTTCGCACATCGACGGAACTGTCAGGGTGGTTTTTGCGGGAGCAACTCTGGCGCGGTTTCTTTACATCTCGACAATTGCTCCAACGAGTTGAGAAACTTCCTCTGATCTCGTAAACCACCACCAACATCTTCAAACTCTCCAAGTCGCTCATAGGCACAAGTGTAATGTAAATCAAAAAGCCACAAGAGTTCCTACAAATTTAGGTATTGTTCCCCTAGTGTTCTCCTAGAACTCATCGGAAAAAGAACCCCGCTGAAGAAAATTCCGAATCACTGTTCAAAGAGGCTAAATATAGGGGAAAAATCTGGAGCGAGAGAGGTAACATTGGAAAACGCTAAACACATTTTACATCACATCTACAATATACAAAGAGTGACAAGTTCAAGTAGATTTAAAAGCACCTCCCCACCACCCAAGCGTTACATTCGGAAGTCTCCTGCATAAAGTACATGAAAAACATTGTTATTTACCCGGACCTCCTCCAGTCCAGAAGGCACATGAAGGTCTTGGATACGGTAACCTTAGGCTAAAGTTGTATTTCGAGATGAATGCAGTTAAGTATCTTTATCACTTCGGCATCTACCTCTGCAGAGGCGAAACCGTTAATTATAAAAAGGCGGATTCGTAGACAAAGAATTGAAGTTGCTAAATCAATCTAAATGAAACAATCAAATGAAAATTAATTGGTCAATCTCAAACAAATCAAAATAGGAACAACATTTACATTGATGCCAAATAAAACCAAATTCAAGAATCACTTACAACTAGTCACAAACAGCTGAATGCAACATCATTTACAACTAAGTATTTTACCTTCTTGAAATGGCTAATGGCACAAATTTACTGGATGAAAAACGCAAAGTGATGCTAAAATAGAAATTGCACCTGCATGAACGGAATAAAAGTTAATTCAAGACACCATTTTCTTCCTATACAAATACAGTCATACAGACTAACATTGTTTTAAAACTGCTGATATAATAGTACATTATATATCAAGGTAGAGAAGTCCACTATTATTGCCTGAGCACCAAGATTACATCTCGAGGCGCTTGCGCCGAGGGGTGTAAGGTGCGAAGGCAATAATAGACTTCTCTACCGTGGCAACAAATGCCGAGAAAGCCTACTTTACAAGTGGAAAAAAGGTTAATAATCATGTCATCAGACGCTAGTAGTGAAAAAAAATTATTACACTAAAAAGACCGTATTCTATCTAAATCTCCAGCGTGTCTCGATATACGCCAACGGTACTGGTTCTTTGAAATTTTGAAAGCAGACATTTGATGAACAGTTTTCAATTGCAACATATTTTTGTATTTCAAACAATGTCTTATTCGTAAAAAATCAAAGGAACAAAAAGCCACTTACTCAGAAAATTTATAAATGCTGATGCTGCAAATTATTGCGTTTCGTCATTGTTTTCATGGCTAGGTAGATTACATAAGAATGCCCCCTCGTACCTACCCCCAATATGAGCAACTACCCTCTGATTACAAGTATTAGGGGTACTAAAGGTACTTCGTTTTGTTGTATGAGAAATAATTAGGACTCATATGCTGCAACCCCAAACGCCATACAATAAAAGAAAGTAACAATAGTCGCTCGTCCTAAAAGTAGGTACAAGCACAGATATACGTATATCTGTGGTACAAGGTATTGATTTCTCCGTTTCATTGCTCTATCAATATTTTTCGTTTCTTTTCCTTTGGAAGAACTGGCACGACGCCACTGCCGTACTGCGTAAACGTCTAGTTTTTTAAACAAATTACGTAATTTAAAATATTTTAATAATACATTACCTCATACTTTTACGACAATGACATCATTTGCAAATTTTTAATTTGTACTTTGAAACAAAAACATAACTTACAGATTTCGACGTTTACTATAATGATCATCGCTCAATTCGTGTTGTTCTGAAATTGTGAACAATAGTGTAAAATTAATCGAAAATGTTAACCACAGATTGATCTAAAATAATGAAGATACGGTTACATGAGAAACGAGTGTATAATGCCATGAAAGAGTACAATTTTTGAAGATTCTTAATGTAGAAATGTGGATATTGGTCAAAGACACATTCACGATTTTAATGCCATATTGCGCATTGTGACACCGAAATAGAAAAACAATATTGTGAGTCAAGAGAGCGGGCCGAGCTCGCCTTTGGCTGCCGAGCGTTACGCGTGACGACCACAGGATATGGAGCGGCATCTGTGGCGTTACGCATGAGATGATTTTCCTTCCGTCGACAACGTACAGTGCATACCGGGCGAAAAGAAGTAGTCCCTTCAAAAATCGTAGTAATTGGACAGTCTGAACTGAAGTCGTTGCGTTTTGGTGAGTAACGTGTGACCAAGACACTGCTGAGAACCAGAAATAGCAACCTTTAAGGAAATCCCATGTTCCACCAACTACTTACCCTTTTGAGTCGTAAATAGGACATGGCATCCGGAACTAAAATCACATCAGCACCATGAGCGAACTAAACGTACGAGACATAGCAACCGATGATGTAACGGGTGGCCGCTTTGCAGTTTTAAAGATCAGTATTTTGTTTAGCATAGGGAAAATACACATATACCGCTTTACAGTAAACGTGAACGAAAGTAAAACTCAAGCTTTGACATTATTTTCTCTACTATATAATATCTTCAACATCTTTTCGAATCGTTTTTCTTGCTTTTTTTCTTGTTTCTCTCTCTTGCTGATTTTGCGTGTACCCGTTTTTATGTTTTCTGGTATATGGTTGATATCATGTGTGATGTTTGTGTTTTGCATGTTTTTGTTGCCTTCCTCTTGTTCTTTTGAGTCGAGTATGAGTCGATCACATTTTGTCGTGTTTCTCTTCTTTTAAGCTTCGCCTGACCTTTTTCATTTTTTCTGCCTTGTTCGTATTTTCCAACGTACTCTTC